AAACGGAGCTGTTCTGCCAGGCTTTCAGTTAAGGCAGCGGGTGTCTACATTCCATTCTTATTCTGCTGGGCTTTCAGTTGAGGCAGCGGGTGTCTATATTCCATTCTTAGCCTCCCCTGCTGACAGCTCTGGCTTAGAGAGCCAGTTTGGTGTAGTGGTTAAGTGTGCAGACTCTAATCTGGGAGAACCGGGTTTGATTCCCCACTCCTCCACTTGCACCTGCTGGATGACCTTGGGTCAGTCTCAGTTCTCTCAGAGCTCTCTCAGCCCCACCTCCCTCACAGGGTGTCTGCTGTGGGGAGGGGGAGGGAAAGGAGGTTGTAAGCTGCTCTGAGACTCCAAGTGAAGGGCGGGGCATAAATCCAATCTCTTCTTCTTCCTCTTCTTCGTGGTTGGTGGCTTGATACCCTTCAACACCGCTCAGAAGATTTCCATTCAAGCACTGCTACCGAGGCAACTCTCACTCTGGTTTGTGTACGAAACTTTGAAAATTTAATTATTTGAATTTTATATATTGTTTGTCACAATATTTTATGTGACCTTGTAAGCCGGCCTGAGCCCGCCCACAGGGAGGGTGGGATTTAAACTAAACCAAATAAATAAAGCCCTTCATAACCTGGGGTCCACAGAACTGAAGAACCGTTTCTTCCTTCATGTTCCTGTGTGGCAGCTTGTTAAGGCACGTCTAGAAGAAAACGTCTAGAGGAGTAGAAGACCTTTGGACCATTTAGGACAGTGGGGCAGGAGGAAGAGGATGATGAAGAAGAATTGGATGTTTATTTTATACCCTACCCTTCACTCAGAGCCTCAGAGCAGCTTACAATCTCCTCCCCTTCCTCTCCCCACAACGGACACCCTGTGAGGCAGGTGGGGCTGAGAGAGCTCTGAGAGAACTGAGACTGACCCAAGGTCACCCAGCTGGCTGCACGTGGAGAAGTGGGGCATCAAACCCAGTCCTCCGGATTACAGTCTGCCACTCTTAACCACTACATCACCGCTGGAAGGAAAGTCTTGGATGGGAAGTGTGAGGATAAGAGGGCAGAGAGATAAGAAGGACAAGACTACAAAGGTCTTCAAAGGTGAGGATGAAGTTTGTGCCGGAACCAGAAACAAGACATTATAGGAATTTTAGAAGGGCCCTCACTCAGTCAGAACGATGATAAAGTGACTGGTTTCGGTGGCAGAGTGCCAGAGAGAGGACAGAGGCCCAAGGGGTACCAACAGCAGAACAGAGAAGAGGGGGGAGGTTGCAATTGTCAGAGCAAGAGATAACCGGCAGGGCGTTCAGGGAGGAGGAAGAGACCACACTTTTGCAATACTGTACAGGGAGAAGCAGTGAGGGCTGGGTGACAAGCTGAGTACAGGAGAGCGTCCAAGGTAAAACTATACTGCTGTCTAGTGGCTGTTAACCGTTACGATTTAAAGCCAACAAAATGCCCGTGATGCAGAGGAGAAGCCTGCAGTTCTCAGGGGCTCTGGAAGTTTATGTTATGTGCTCCCCCCCCACTTCTCCAAGCAGAGAGACATTCCACTGTCGTTTACGAAATATCCTCCTCTGTTATATCAGACATAACTTTACGCAGTAGGCATTAGAACACCATGATCAAGGACTCTACTGGGCTGGAGGTTAAATCCTGTTTCTACCTCTGAGCTAGGGTTGCCAGCTCCGGGTTGGGAAATGCCTGGAGATTTAGGGGGTGGGGGTTTGGGAAAGGGAGAGACTTCAATGGGGTATAATGTCACAGAGTCCACCTTCCAAAGGGGCCGTTTTCTCCAGGTGAACTGATCTCTGCTGCCTGGAGAGCAGTTGTAATCCCAGGAGATCTCCATCCACCACCTGGGGGTTGGCAACCTTACTCTGAACACTCCAGACATGGCGAATCAAGCCTTTTATCTGCACACTACTATTCTGAGCCTTAGTTCTCGGTCACATTGAGGTTAGGGTAACCAACCTCCAGGTAGGGCCTGGAGTTCTCCTGGAATGCCTGGAGAGCAGTTGTAATCCCAGGAGGCAACCTTACTCTGAACACCCCAGACATGGCGAATCAAGCTTTTTATCTGCCCACTACTATTCTGAGCCTTAGTTGGTCACATTGAGGTTAGGGTAACCAACCTCCAGGTAGGGCCTGGAGTTCTCCTGGAATTACAACAAAATCTCCAGACTACAAAGATCAGGGGGAAAGGTCCATTTCAGAGGGTGGACTGCATGACACCCCATCCTCACCAACATCCATACACCCAGATCTTCAGGAATTTCCGAAGCCCGAATGCTATGTTGTTAAGGGGTCCGCCCCGTGTCCTATTGAACCGGATCTGAGCTGGAAGTGTCAGGTTGAAACTTACTTCTTAGTTATGTGGGGGCTCGATTTGGATCAGGACCATGGTTTGCAGGGAGAAGGGGTCTAAACCTGACCCCCCCCCCAAGCTACTTTCCCAACCTGAAATGGCCCCTGGGAACTGCTATTTGACCTGTGGGGAAAACTGACAAGATATATGTAAGTTTCCCTAATAATAATAGTGTGCTGGCAAGTTGCAAAGGATACATGGTGAACCAGGGCCACGGGGTTTTCAAGACAAGAGACGAGCATAGCAGCCCTGGACTTCCTTGGTTTTCTCCACTCCCACCAAAGGCCTAACCAGGGTCAACCCTGTTCGGCTTTTAAATTCTGGCAAGATTGGGCTATTCAGGCTGAACAAGTTCTTTAAAGCCAGTTACTCTTTCCACAATGCAGATGGGGATTACCAACTACACTGTAGGCCTGATGGCTGCGCCTCTTGTTCCAGTGACAACAGAATATTTTTGCATTTGAACCAATTTTTTAAAGAGTAGGAAGCAGCCAGGCGTCTCTCCATCCTGTCCAAATCCAGCTTTTTAATGTCACTGTACTCCCCCCCCCCTATTCCTGTGAGCAGATTCAGGGTTTTTATTTGGGGAGTGAAAAGCAGGACCAGCAATGTGAGAAAGAGGTAGTAGAGATGAAATCACTAATGTAGATGTAAAACAGATTCGTTATGAAATTTGAAATCTAAAACGTTGAATATAAATGTACCCCAACAGAAGCAAGTGCCATTGTATTTTTTTTAAATGTTTTTATTGAATTTTACCATTTACAATTATCTACATAAACATTGTATTTTACAGACAGTGTTTTAAAAGCTATAATGAAGGGGGTGTTGGGGAGAAATGCTCCGTTTTACACATTCTGTGATCCCCTTCCCTTTTCTGTATCCCCTTTATACCTCTAACTTGTTTTCTAAAAATAAAAACATGTTTTAAAAATATAAGAAACACATGAAAGGAACCTCACAGCTTTTTAAGCGAATAAGACCAGAGTGAGAAAGAGCATGCCATTTCTGCGTCTCTGTATTTGCGGAGGAGAGGAAACGGTACAGTACAGGCTGCTGCCAATCACAACTGTGCTAAAAATCCTGGATTTCTTTATTTTAAAAAGAAAGTAGCCGTGTTGGTTCAATAACAACAAAAACTGTATTATTATTGCTTATTAAGACTAACCAAATTAACACTGCTTTCAAACTCTGCAGAACCCTTCATCAGGCTCAATGTTAAAAAGAAAAAAAGTGGGAGGAGGGTTTTTCAGGCCACAGTGTTGTTATGGCTGACTTCTCAATTCTCAATTCAGTTTGACATCAGAGATTACCATAATCTGATGGCTTTCTCATCCTGGAAAGCCTAGAATTCCTTGACTACCAGGGCTGCAAGCTGAGATACTGCCTGCAGTAATTCTGGGTCCAAGACTACCAGAATGAGGAATGGCTTAAAGCAACTTTTAACAGGAAGGGCTACTAAAACATCTTGTACAGCGGTTTGCTCTGAGGTTATGTGATCTTGGGGCAAGCCCACAAATGTTGTAAAACAGAAGGGAATGTGTCTAAATTAGGGTTGCCATCTTTGGGTTAGGAAATACCTAGAGATTTTGTGGGATGGAGCCTGGGGACAGCAGGGTCTGGGGAAGACAACGGTCCTCAGCCGGGTATAATACCATAGAGTCCACCCTCCAAAAACAGCCATTGTCTCCAGGGGAATGGGTCTTGGTTGTCTGGAGATCAACTGTGATAGCAGGTGATCTCTAGGTGCCACCTGGAGGTTGACGATCCTAATGCAAATTCTGTCACACCCCCATCCACCACTCCTCTGAATCTAGTTGAATGAATAACACACACACGTTTTTCTTGTTAACATGCAACCGGCTGGAAATCTTAATAAAAGCTCATGATGTGAATCATTTTGTGAGGAAGGTCTTCATTGTTTCCTAGTGCTCGCTGTCACTTTTGAGCACCTCCCTGCTGACTAGAAATAAAACACCTTAAAAAGTAACCAAGAGAATGAAATGAAGCAACAGCGGGCACCATAAGGACTAGAATTAGGGTTGCCAACGTCCAGGTGCTGGCTGGAGATCTTCTGCAGTTTCAACTGATTTCCAGGCAACAGAGATGAGTTCACCTGGAGAAAATGACCGCCTTGGAAGGTGGTCTCTATGGCATCGAAGTCCCTCCCCTTCCCATACCCCGCTCTCCTCAGGCTCCACCCTCAAAACCTCCAGGTATTTCCCAATCCAGAGCTGGCAACCCTAACTAGAACGCGGCCGCGCTGTTTAAACTTCTGTTGGTGTTAGCTTTTTTTAATGGGAAGCCGCCATTCGCCCATTACTCCCTTCGGCGCCTGGCGCGGTGCCGCTCTAGGCAGTATAATCTCTGTCGCGAAACCCCTCGAAATAATTAATTGCTCGTCGCATCTGCCGCACAAGGCAGCCCCGAGCATCTGTCATCTCGCCATCAGAAGCCAAAAACACTAGACTCGCTCCACCATAGTGGCACTTCCGGTCTAAAACCGGAACTGTCTTCCTCGTCAAACGACGCACACGCACACAGGGAGAATTTGTTTTTCTGGCCTGAGAGAACACGGTGCCTAGAGCGGCCTCCTCGGGCCGACCCGCGTCCGTCTAGTTTTCCCTTGAAGTGACGGTCTGGTTTTCCATTCTATGACTCTGGGAGCCGTCGCTGTGTTCCGGTCAGGGACCGGAAGTGGAAGGCTGGCGAGCGTTGCCGTGGAGACGCGCCGCTGTTTGCCACCAAGAACGGGGCCTGCTGCGGGTGGGGTCGCTGGATGGAGCCGCAGGGAGGTGAGACGCGCTTGCGCCGCTCTTGGGCTCCCAACCGGTACCCTTGCCTGCCTTGCCCCGGGAGGGTACATAGCCTCCCTCCCTCCCTCCTAGGGGGATCGAAATGCGTCGATGTATTGGGTGGGAGGGGTCACTAGGACCTCGCAGTTCTTGCCTAACGACGCCCCCCCCCCAGCTTCTTTTCTTACACATATCTCTTTTAGTCCAAGAAGCTGAGAGGGCGATGGCCATTGTCATCCTCTCTCTCGATCTGATTTTATTTATTTATTTAGGTTTTAGGTCGCCCTTCTTTGCAAGCAAGGCTCAGGGTGGCTTACGACAGGAGAGGACATACAATAAATAATTAAAAGTTAAAACTAGGAGTAAATATATAAAATGTACAGAGCCAATAATGCATCAGCATAATTCTGTTGATCCAAGATGGTGGGGGAATTGCAGATTTTACAGGCCTCCCTGAGGGGGGCTGCGGAGAAAGGGGGGCATGAGAGTGCCAGACGACATACTGCACTGTTGGTGTCCTCAACCAAATGCCTGGTAGAACATTTCCACCTTACATGCCCTGCAGAGATCCTGCAGGGCATGGACATTCACAGGCAAAGAATTCCACCAGGTGGGGGCCAGGGCCAAAAGAACTTACAACAACTTTGTAAGGTAGGCTAGGCTAGGCTCTAGGGTTGCCAACTCTGCCTTAGCTAATTCCTGGAGATTTGAAGGCAGTGCTTGGGAAGGCCAGCATTTGGGTACGGAAGGCAGCTCCAGGGTTGTGATGCCATAAATTCTGCTTTGCTTTCTGATGCCATTTTTTCTTCCAGAGAAACTGATCTTTGTAGGCTGAGATAGGTGACATTCCAGGAGCACTCCAGCTCCCAACCTGAAATTAGCAGCTGTACTTTGCTTGGAGGGAGCATGACTGCCCCACATTCACCCAATAAGATTCATGGCTGAGTTAAATCCCAGTCTCCTATTCCCAAGAGGCTCACAGTGTTATGGGCAATTAAATGGGGTTGGGAAGAGATTTTGAAGGCCAAACGTAGTAGAAAGGGATGTACACAAAATCTGAAATAACAAAAAGCCACACACACGAACACTCCTACCATGCCCCTCTTACTAAATCAAATCAAACTGAGTGTTCTGGGGAAGCTGGATGGCTGTTTTTTGAAAAAGGGTGCAAAGCAGGCTGAATCTGAGATCTAGCTCCATATTTGGGACCCACCCTTCCTCCAGCAAGCTCAGGGTAGCATATGTGCTTCTCCTTCCTTTTCCTCATGTCAGTTTAACTGTGAAGTGGGCTTGGCAGAGAGTGACTGGCCCTAAATAACACAATGGGCTTCATGGCTGAGAGGGGATTTGAAACCACACCTCCCTGGTCTTCATCTTGACACCGTAAGCACTGCAACCACACTGTCCTTCTAGGTTTCGTGGTAAAGGATTCTCTGCAGCACTGTGGTGGTGGAAAGGGCCATTGAGTCACAGCTGAGAGCCAGTTTGGTGTAGTGGTTAAGTGCGTGGACTCTAATCTGGGAGAACCAGGTTTGATTCTTAACTCCTTCACTCGCAGCTGCTGGATGACCTTGGGCAAGCCATAGTTCTGTCAAAGCTGTTCTCTCAAGGACAGTTCTGGAAAAAGCTCTCTCAGCCCCACCTACCTCACAGGGCGTCTGTTGTGGGGAGGGGAAGGGAAAGGAGTTTGTAAGCCATTTCCAATGATTAAATGTTTTATGCTACATTATGTCCTATAAGTTTGGCTGTATATGGTTTTAAATGCATATTCCCTTTTATAGTAATCCTCTTAAAGTATTTTATGCCAATAAAGGTTAGCTGAACTGAACTGAGTTTGTAAGCCGCTCTGAGACTCCTTCGGGTGGTGAAGGGTGGGGTATAAATCCAATCTCTTCTCTTCTTCTTATGGCGACCCTGTACACAAGAGATGTTCAGAGGTGGTTTGTCATTGCCTGCCTCCGCATCGTGAGCCTGGTATCGCTTGGAGGTCTCCCAGCCAAATACTAGCCAGGGCCAACACTGCTTCGCTTCCGAGATGAGGCTGGCCTGGGCTATCCAGGACAGGGCACACCACTGGAGTTCTACATAATTATATATTGTGTGTATATCTGATATAATGAGCATATTTTTTGTATGTCTTGGAGTATATAATCTGGGTATGTGACTTGCCCTAAGATTCACTGCTAAGGTGTGTAGCTTCCCACTCTGCAAGGGTACACCCCCCCCTTCTCTGGCTGGGATTGTGATGCTGGTTATTCCCACAAGACACAGTACGGCTACTGCTTTTAAACTCTGGCAAATCACGCGAAGGCTTTAAAAAGGTATTCCCAGAATTTCCTGCAAAACAGGGGCTGTTATTTACCAGGGGTAGGAACCAGGAAATAGGAACAGTTGGAGCACATGCAGTGAAAACATAAGAAGAGCCCTGCTGGATCAGACCAGTGGTCCATCCAGTCCAGCATCCTGTCTCACACAGTGGCCAAGCAGTTCCTCTGGACAGCCAACAACAGGGCATAGAGGCCGAGGCCTTCCCCTGATGTTGCCTCCTGGCTCTGGGATTCAGAGGCTCAGTGCCTTTGAATGTGGAAGTTCCCCTCAGTCACCGTGGCTAGTAGCCGTTGATAGGCTTAGCCTCCATGGATCTATCTGATCCTCTCTTAAAGCTGTCTATGCCTGTGGCCATCACTACATGCTCTGGCAGTGAATTAGGAACAGTTGGAGCATATGCAGTGAAAACATAAGAAGAGCCCTGCTGGATCAGACCAGCGGTCCATCCAGTCCAGCATCCTGTCTCACACAGTGGCCAGCTAGTTCCTCTGACGGGCCAATAACAGGCCACAGAGGCCGAGGCCTTCCCCTGATGTTGCCTCCTGGCTCTGAGATTCAGAGTCTTAGTGCCTTTGAATGTGGAAGTTCCCCTCAGTCACCGTGGCTAGTAGCCGTTGATAGGCTTAGCCTCCATGGATCTATCTGATCCTCTCTTAAAGCTGTCTATGCCTGTGGCCATCACTACATGCTCTGGCAGTGAATTCCACATTTTAATCATTCTCTGTAGGCTGGTTCTGAGGTGATGTTGAAAGTTATGTACGTGATGGCCCGAGTAAAGATCCCTGGATGCAGCAGATATCTATCTAGCAAATTTTTATTTCACCTTCCCTTGAATGAGCACAGAACTGTGTACACGGTTCCTTTCCCAGTTTATACATGCCATAACCAGTGTTCCCTCTAAGCTGAGGTAGTGTGAGCTAGCTCCCAGTTTTCTAGCCTCTGGCTCACACATTTTTGTTTCAGCTCAGGAAGGATGGCTCCAGAGCAGTATGCAGTACCTGCTTATTCGCTGTATTATGGTCTTTGACTGCGATAAACATACTATCACCTTGCAGTACCTGCAGTACATTTATGCAGTACCCAAAACGCTGGCTCACCACTTTAATGCCAGTAGCTCACAAAGTAGAATTTCTGCTCACAAGACCACAGCTTAGAGGGAGCATTGGCCATATCTGGATTGACATGGGATAGGGGATGCTTATTGAGAAACAGATGTATACCTGGTAATTACAGCTTGGAATGGGTACTTTACAAACCACTGACATCATTGGTCAAATCTTGGCTGCTTGCTGGTTAGGTGATGGAAATCAATACATTTAAATGGAGGAAACAGATACATTTATAGAGTGCCCTCAGTAGACATTGCTCTGTACAGAATTACTGAAGCAAAGACGACAAGCGTATGGAGTTTTCCTTTCATTTCCTTAAATCGATATCCTGTTTCTCCAGAATATTTTTAATTGGTATACTGCCACACCTCCTTTTGTAAAGTACCCCTCCATGCACACATTTTAGATTTGCTACAAAAGCTTGGGCAGTGTAACCCTGAGATTTCATTCTTTTCACCCTTGTCGATAGGTTATCAATCCAGACTGAGATCTGTACCGCTGTTGCCCAGGCTCTTTGTATTGCTTGTGCTGCCTTGGAGGTTCTGTTGCTGGGCCTATTTAACGCGAATAAACAAAACACGCCTGCTCTTTTTAAGAAAAATAGACACTCCCGTCGAACAGCTCAGAGTTCTCCCGGGGCCTGGATTCTGCTGAGCTGCTCACTCCGGCCAGCTTTTTCTGCATATTTTTTGCTTCCAGAGTCCATGGGCCTATAACTGCCAACCCAGCTTTGCTTGACACATGGCAGCAGCATACCCCGCCTTTGGGATTAGAGCCACCTTTGCCATTGTTGGGTATCCTTCCGTTTTTCGTAGTTCCCATTTTTGAGGAGATGAGAGCCAAAACCAGAGGAAACTGGTGTTGAACGGCCTCCAAGTGACTGTTTTCCCAAAGACAGAAGGAGCACAGCGGGGCAATAGGCGCCTGTTCTTACTGCACCATTCTTGAGAATTGTTGGATGCTGAAGGTGGCTTGGATGTAAGGCCGTGTAAATTCAAATAATCTAAGCTGGATCAGGGGAAAGATGCCCAGCGCTTAGGAAAAGCACTGTCGCCTGATGGTCTGAGGCTGTATTCAATAGACTGGAGGCTTGAAGGTTTCAATTACCAGTCAGCTCCTGGCCTCTGTTCAAGATGCTGGTGGAGTCCTTTATGGTTTCCCATCCTATCTTATCTCTCTACCTTGCAGGATATCCCTCCAGTGATGAATACACTATGGCTATGGTAAATTAGGTCACTTAGATCCAACTGGCTAGTATGGTAATCCTGGTTATATTTGTATTCCTATTATACTCTTTTTCACTCCTCAGGTACTTGATGCAAACATTGCTGAACACAAGTTAAGTTTTAGATGAATATACTGTTATTGGTTTCCTGGTTTAGGGATGTCTTCTTCCACTGATGTTTTGTTGGTTACCTTCTCTGTACATTCTCTTTGAAAATTTAATAAAAAGATTTATACAAAAGAATGGTCTGGCACACCTTCAGGAGCACCTTCACTCAGGTGTTTCTCCCTGTTCTCTGACATCCTGGGATGGGTCTCTTTGCACTGTCTTTTAGGAAAGCGCATTCTAGCAAGGCTCTTTGCATTGTCTTTTAGGGAAGTGCATTCTAGCAAGGCATGAGACCCGGGGGGGGGGGG